CGGCAAGGCTGCCCTACCCCCCGGGGTGTGGCGCTCACGCAGTAGTAGCAGCTCCAGCCCGTCTCGGTGTGCGCCGTCTCCGTCACCTCCACGGCGCTGGTGCTGTGCACGTAGCCCATGCGGCGCAGGCAGCCGTCGTGGTAGACCCGGGCGCAGACCCTGCAGGGGAAGAGGCTCTCTGCCGTCCACACCTCGCAGATCTCGCACATCTCGTCGCTGACCACCTGGGCGGGGGAGGAGACAGCGGCAGGGTCAGAGGGCAGGGACCCATCACACCCGGGCCTCCTCGCACGTCCCCACCCCGCCGGGCCAGCTCTGTGACGGGGAAGGGGTGTGCCGGGAGAAGGGGGCCCAGCGCTTGTGGGGAGGGGGCCACAGGAGAGGGCAGTGGATGGAGGGAACAGGGGGTGTGGGACAGAGAGGAGTGTGGAGGGAGGGAGAGTTGGAATAGCGTGGGCATGGAGGGATGGACAGACGGACGGAGGGAGAGTGCCAGGGATGGAGGGAGGGAGGGACAGAAGATAGATGGATGGAAGAAGGACAAAGATGGACAAAAGGAGGAGTATGTATGCAGAGGGATGGAGGGAGGGAGGGAAGGACGGACAGATGGACCAGGGCATGCGTGCAGAGGGAGGGAGGGGGCCACAGGAGAGGGCAGTGGATGGAGGGAACAGGGGGTGTGGGACAGAGAGGAGTGTGGAGGGAGGGAGAGTTGGAATAGCGTGGGCATGGAGGGATGGACAGACGGACGGAGGGAGAGTGCCAGGGATGGAGGGAGGGAGGGACAGAAGATAGATGGATGGAAGAAGGACAAAGATGGACAAAAGGAGGAGTATGTATGCAGAGGGATGGAGGGAGGGAGGGAGGGACGGACAGATGGACCAGGGCATGCCTATGGAGGGAAGGCTGGACGGACGGAGGGCCGGACAGATGGAGGCTGTGACGTTACTGGATTTGAGTCGGAGCCCCTGCTGTGGGTCTGCCCCAAACGTGCCCCGGCGGGGCGTCTGTCGAGCGCGGGGTCGCTTTGCGCTCTCGTGTGCGTGCCGGGTGTGTGCACTGCGAGCGGTGCGGGTGGGCCCTGCGCTGGCGAGCCCAGCACGGCTGGCGG